CCATTCAGTGTTTAATAGTATGCTATCCAGCCTCCAAGTGTTTGAATTTTTGTGATTGTTTTTACTATAGTTGACTTCTAATTTTATGCTATTGTGATCTGAGAAGATGCTTGACATGATTTCAATCCTCTTGAATTTGGATAGACTCTTCCTGTGTCCCAATATGTGGTCTACCTTTAAAAATGTCTCATGTGTGCTTGAGAAAAATGTATATCTGTAGTTTTGGGGTGGAATGTTCTAAAGATGTCAATTATGTCCATCTGATCTAGTGAGTTGTTTAGGATTTATGTTTCTTTGCTAATTTTTTTGTTTAGAGGATTTATCCAGTGATGTTAATGGGGTAATAAAGTATCCTACTATGATTGCATTGCTGTCAATCTTTCCCCTGATATCTTCCAGAAGTTTTTTTATGTATTTGGGACCTCCTGCATTGGGTGCATAAATGTTTACCAGAGTATATCCTCTTGGTGTATTGATCCCTTTAAAATTATGAAGTGGCCTTTCTTGTGTCTTATTATGGTCTTCACTTTGATGTCTATTTTGTGAAGTATAAGTATTGCTACCTCAGTTTTTTTTTTATTTCCATTTGTCTGATAAATATTTTTCCATCCCTTCACTTTCAGTCTGTGTGAGTCCCTTGTTCTGAGGTGGTCTCCTGTAGACAGCATATATATGAGTCATGTTTTCTTATCCATTCAGTCACCTGATGTCTTTTGATTGGGGCATTTAATCCATTAACATTTAAAGTAATTATTGATACGTTCTTGTTTATCACCATTTTTATTCTTTACGCCTGTGTTCCTTCTTCATTTCCTATTTCTTTTTACAGCAGACCCTTTAGCATTTCTTGCATTGCTGGTTTGGTGGTAATAAACACCCTCAGCCGGATTCATCTGGCTTGGGACTCTGTACTTATGTAAGTTTTTTCTTCCCTATATCAGGGAAGTTTTCTGTCATTATTTCTTCAAATAGATTTTCTAATCCTTGCTGTTCTTGTCCTTCTGGTAGCCCTATTATACGTATGTTTCTTTGTTTCAAGTTGTCCCAAAGCTCCCATAGGCTCTCTTCCTGCTTTCTAATTTTTTTCTCCAGTTGCTGTCCACCTTGGGCTTGTTTCTCTACCTTATCTTCTAACTCACTAATTCAGTCCTCTGCTTCTCCTAGTATACTGTTGAAACCTTACATAGCATTTTTGATTGTAGCTATATCACTTTTGATTTCTTTCTGATTTTTGCATAGGTTATTTATTTTCTCATCCATCAGGTTTATGAACTGTATGACCATTACTCAGAATTCTTTTTCTGTCATGTTGCATGCCCCTGTTTCACTTATTTCCTTCCTTGGTGATTCCTCTTTTTCTTTCCTCTGGGGATTGTTTTGTTGTCTCCCCATTCTAGCTATCACCAGAAGGTTCAAATGACTAGTTGTAGGGGCCTGACCCATGTGCAGTGGGAGCTTCGTGCCACACGAGTGTCACTGAAGAGCTCCAACACCAAGACATGTGGCTACCATGGGTTGGTGGGAGCCATGCTCACCCAGGATCAGAGTCACCAGCACTCAGTGTGGCTTTGTGCACACACCTAGAATCAAGAACTCCACCGGTGTGCCAAAAATCAGAGTCCCCTAGCGCACGCCAGGAGTCAGAGTCCCCCTGTGCCCGCACCAAGAATCGAGTATCAGAGTCTCTGTTGCTTGGTGGGGCCTTGTGCCAAGAATCAGGGTCCCTGTGTGTGCATGCGCTGAGAACTGGAGTCACTGGCTCTTAGTGTGCGTGCGCTGGGAATCAGGGATCCCATGTGTGTACGATGAGAAACAGAGTCAAGTCACTGGTACTCAGTGCTGCCTCTCACGTGGAGAATCAGAGACCCCGGTCTGCTTGGGGGACTGGGAAGCACAGTCCCCCTGTGTCAGCGGGAGGTCCACTCCTGTGCTGTGGGAAACAGACTTCCATGTGCGCTTGCCCAGAATCAAAGTCAGGTGGCACAGCTGCCCTGTGTGGGCGTGGGGTCTGGTCACGCAAGTGCACACTGTGGGAAACAGCCTCCCTATGTCTGTGCACTCAGGCTCAAATTCAGGTAGCGCAGCCTCCCTGTGTTGGCGTGGGGTCTGGTCGCGCCAAGTGCGTGCTGCAGGAAACAGCCTCCCAGTGTCTGCGTGCCCAGGCTCAAATTCAGGTAGTACAGCTGCCCTGTGTGGGCAGGAGGCCTCCTAGCGCAGAGTAGGTCTAGCAGTTCCTATGCCGCTGCAGCGGGCCTGTGGGGAGGGGGTTGGGCTCTGTGACTCACAGAAATCTGGGGTCAGGATGTCTGGATTCTTGGTGTCTGTGGGTCTGCAGCTGTGGTTGCAGGTCTTTGTCCCCAGTGGCTGTAGGGTCCTGGTTTGTGTCTGAGACCAGATTGGGTTGTGGTGAGGCTAGGATACTAGTCTCAAGCAATTCTGTTTTTCAAGATGGCGTGGTCTCTATGCCCATGCTGGCTGCCCCTGGAGTGTCTGTGGTGGCAGCAGGGTTTCGCTGTCTAAGACTGCCCGGTTTGGCAGTACCCTGGAAGACCTGCAGGATCTAACTGTCCCTAGCTCACACACACACAAACACCACACACGTCCACACACTCCTCTATCACTCCCTCACTCTCTCACACACTCTCGCTCCCTACCTTCTTTTAACTCACTATCTTGCAATCTAGAACATTCTGATTTTTATGAGGCTACCCAGCTGAAAATGTCTTACTTGCTTTTGCAACTATACAGTCATGAAACTTCCACAGTAATGTCCTTTGATAGAACTAAGAATTATTAATTGTTTGAAGATAGTTGCAACATTTTCTAACTCAAACAGTGCCAGTGGTTGTTTTTGTGTGGTTTTTTTTTGCGGGGAGGAGGAGGGAGTGGGGGTTACTAGGGGGAGTCATGAGTTTCAACATTAAGTTTTCAGGTTTTAGAGATGAATATTAATTAATTACACTTAAAATTCAAATTCATACAAATAAAACATGGAACGGTGGTTATCACCGGCTAGGTGAAGGGGTGAAAGTGGAGTTGTTTAATGGATACAGACTTTCAATTTTGCAAGATGACAAAAGTTCTGGAGATCTATTTCACAACAATGTAAATATACTTAATATTCTGAACTATACACTTAAAAATGGCCAAGATGGTCAATTTTATATTATACTTTTTTATTATTATTGCAAAAAAACCAAAAAAGAAATTGAGTGAGCAAACATTCTATGCTATTTTGGAAGTATATTGTGTTACAAGGTTCTTATACTCTACATAAAGGGGTATAATATTACTTGAACATTCACACTATTAGGTTAAAGATATATCAAATAAACCCTAAATCAACCACTAAGAAAAGAAGTATAAAGCCAACAAAAGAGATACAATAAAAGCATGTAAAATTAATTAACACAAAGGAAGAAAAAGAGAGAAACACAGAAACATGGCCAGTGGAATGGCAAGATTTTACAAGAGCTAGATGGTAAATTTAAAGTATATCAATAATTACATTTAAAAATTACAAATTACATTTAAAAAACAAGAGCCAATATGTGACACCTACAAGAAATTCATTATATATACGTAAACACACACACACACACACACACACACACAAATGAATAAGTTAAAAATAAAAGAAAATATATGCCTTGCTATAACTAACCAATGAAAAGCTAGAAGGGTATATTAATGTTACATAAAGTAGATTACAGAGCAAATAATATTACCATAGGCAAAATAGGGCCATTTGATAATGACCATTAAGAAAATAAGAGATAGTCTGGGAGAAAAATACTCATGGAACATATATCTGTCAAAGAATTGGTATCTAGTATATGTAAGAACTCAAAAATGTAGTAAAAGAAGGCAGTCCAGTAATAAATGGACAAAATGTTTAAATATTTAAATAAATACTTCACAAAGGAAGACACATGAATGGCCACTAAGCATATGAGAAAGTGCTCAATACCACTGGTCATTAGGAAAATACAAATAAGAACTGTCATGATGTTTTACCCCAGTGGTCACCAACCTTTCGGACCTCATGGACCACCAGTTGGCGACCGCTGCTCCAAAGGTTTCCTTAAACCAGCAGTTGCCAACTTTTCGGATGTTATGGACCACCAGTGGTCCACAGACCACCGGATGGCGACTGCTGCTCTACCCCATGCCAATTGCAATGATTAAGAGATCTTGATATCTGAACCTGCAGTGGTGCCAGGCTGCCAAACTGTCTGCTTTTGTCCACCAGGGTTATGCAGTTCCAGTTGTTTGGATCTAACTGAACAAATACTATGGAAGGGCAAGACTCCTGAACATATTAACAATCAAGTGACTGTTCATGGACTGTAGACTAGACAGAAAAGGAAATAAGTACAGGAGGGAGCTGGGAGATTGTGGGAGGGGGGAAAGTAACCATCAAATTTATGAAGGTGAACATAATGAAAATGTTGACTTTGCTTTTATTAGCCTATTTAGTTTTCCCAGACAGCATCCAACTTGTACTCCATATGATGAGTCAAGAAGAGAATCAGAAGATAAGACTAATACCTTTAATGTAGTATATTTGTACTTCTTCCTCAGGCACAGTGACTGCTTCCCACTGATGATCCTTAAAATTTAAAAACAGGTTTTAACTATAAACAAATAATTATTCCTGCTTTAAAGCTTCTATAATCACAATTTTTCAGTTATACAACCAATAATGGTTATTACTAAGTAACCAGTTGATATAACATGTTTCTTGCTCCATCTATTGACTGCATAATACATTATGCATGTCACATTTATTTGTTTAACTCTTAAAAGGAAATTAATGGTATTAATTTTATGGTTTCTGACTCTTGACTTAAAAAAGTGACTGTTCATTAATATTTATTTGAAGATACCTTTTAAAAAATTACCAAATCCTGCCCTGGCGGGTGTGGTTCAGTGGTTACAGTGTCAGCCCATGCACCAAAGGGACTCAGGTTCCATTTCTGATCAAGGTCACACCTGAGTTTCAGGTTTGCTCCATGTCCTGGTCAGGCCATGGGCAAGAGGCAACCAGTTGATGTGTCTCTCTCACTACCAGGTGTCTGTCTGTCTGTCTCTCTCTCTCTCTCTCTCTCTCTCGCTCTCTCCCTCTCTCTCTCTCTCCCCCTCCTCCCCTCTATTCCACTGTCTCTGAAAAACCAACAAAAAAACAAATATCCTCGGGTGAGGATTAACAACAACAACAAAAATGTTATCAAAACCTGTCATTTCTTCTTTGGAAGTGTTTTGTGAAATACACATTCCTCAATTTTCACTTATTGACTGTCCTTAGATTTAAACATTGAATGCACAGCAATAACCTAAAATAATTTTCCCTTCAAGTACTTTCATTGAAAATGTGTATAGCCCTAGCTGGTTTGGTTCAGTGGATAGAGCATCAGGCTGTGAACTGAAGGGTCCCAGGTTAGATTCCAGTTAAGGGCACATGCCTGGATTGCTAGCTTTATCCCCAGTAAGGGGCATGCAGGAGGCAGCTAATCAATGATTCTCTCTCATCACTGATGTTTCTATCTCTCTTTCTCTCTCCCTTCCTCTCTGAAATCAATAAAAATACATTTAAAAAACAAAATGTGTATAACTGAATAAAATACTGAATTAACAAAAAAGTCAGTGAACATTGGATGCCATTCCTAAGAGATGGAATCCTAAAACCTTACAGTAATCTGTGAGAAAAATAGATGCAGTTTTGTAGTTAACTTAAGGACCACTCTCATTCTATAGAAATTCTCCCTAATTGAAACCAGTCTATACTCTGATGGCAACACTACCATTATAACCCTCTTCAGTTAAGGTGCTAATTCTCCCAAAGTTCAAAAGCTCCGGGTTAGGAGGAAAGTGTTGGAATCATCTCTGCCCAGTGCTCTGAGCAGCTTTCTGTTTCTCTGTGTGTAAAACACAGATGTTACCTTCCAGGCCCATGCCAAGTGACATACTCTGTGCCAGAACCTACTGGTTATCATCTACTAACTTCAAAATGACTCTTCCTTGTATATGGAGGCACATGGTTCATTGCCTTCCTTTACATTTTTTTTATATTATGGAAAATTTTAAGCAGCTTTTTAAAAAGTAGAAATCATTATATAACTAATGCAAAATATGTGCTTACCTACTTTCAACAGTTACTAATACATTGTGTCCATCTTATTTCATCTTCACCTCCTACTCTCCCTCCATTACACTCTCTTCCTCTTGGCATTAACTTTTATTTAACCTGCCATCCCAGTCATCAGCTTAAAAAAGTTCTTATCCTTAAAAGAAAAGTACCTAACAAAAATCCCTCCCTTGAATCCACATCACAGTTGAGCTATTATTGTGCTCTTTTCCTTAGCTTGATATCTTATTTCCTCTATATTTGAGCTTTCTGGGAATGTCTAAATCCTTGTCTCTTAAGTGAAACTGCTTTCACTGATATCATTTTTGAAAGTGTGGATCATTTCCTCATGAAAACACTAATCTCTTGCCTTCCATAACATACCTTTTAACTGTGTTCTCTTTTGACTTATTCTTCAAGTATCCTCCAGGCTAAAGTCTCTTCTACCTACCTTGTATAAATTTGTATTTATCACAGTTCTGTTTTCTAGGCATTCATTAAATCTATGATCTTATTTATCAGCTATATATAGATAGCTTCTAAATCTCTACTAAGGCTCAGTTCCCTTACCTGAATGTCAGACCAGTATATGCAACTGCCCACCAGATATCCCCAGCTAAATATCCCACAAGTATCTCCAAATCAAAATGCTCAGAGCTGAACTCATCATCTTTTCTCTACAAAACATCCTTCTGTGACAGCATCCCCAACCATCCAGTTAACCCCAGTTTTATTAATCCTTTCTCTTTTTACCACAAACAAATCACCAGGTCTTCTCAATTCTATCTATTCTCAAGTTTTTCTGGAATCTATGTTTCCATCCATCACCACTGTAACTTTCTAAAACCATGCCACCATGATTTCTCACCTGGATTATTGCAAATCTCCTACCTGCTTCTGGTCTTGTCCCTTTTTAATCCATTGTCCCCAGTAGGAGAATCTTTTATATGATGTGGTCTTCAGCACCTCGCACATATCTGGCACATAGTTCCTAATGTTCATTAAATGGATGTTACCTCCTACTTTTATTCTTTATCTTCTTTTCTCTTTTTTTAAATTAAATCTTTATTGTTCAGATTATTACAGTTGTTCCTATTTTCCCCCCCATAGCTCCCCTCCACCCTGTTCCCATCCCACCCTCCACCCTCACCCCCACCCCCCACTGTCCTCATCCATAGGTGCACGATTTTTGTCCAGTCTCTTCCCACATCCACCCCCCCCCAAGAATAGTCAGTCCACTCCATTTCTATGCCCCTGATTCTATTATAGTCACCAGTTTATTCTGTTCATCAGCT